CCTCGACGGCGGGTGCTGCTGAAGGCTCCGTCGTAGTCGCCTCGATGCTAGGTACTGCTGAAACTGCCGCGCACCTGGCTGCACAGAACCCTGCAGGCACCTGCTTTACCCTAAAAGTTTGCTACTGCTGCTTCTTAGTCTGACCACCTGAATGCCAAGTCGAGCAGAGGAGACTGACGGTAGGCCCATTAGGCTCTACGAGCATTTATCGGCCACTATTGTCTCCTGGTATTCATAGCTCAACACCAGGGAGCCGGGCTTTCAGTGTACTGGGCACTGGACATCATTGACAGAAGCCCTGTTGCTTTAAGCAAACCCAATCTTAAGGCTCAAGCTACTGGTCGCCGTTAGCTGTATTCGCTGTTGTCTTTTCTGGGCATCATTCTTCCCAAAAAAGCCCTACACTTGACACATTTAGGGCACGCCAATTCCTGATTTTCTGATGCCGGGTTTGGTTCATCCCGCCTGGTTTCGTGTAGGCGGAGGCTCCAGCCAAAGCCCTTCACGCCTAGCACTCCCACGTTCATGCCACAATGGCGACAGCGAGCTCGGGAGCACGGGCGAAACGCGGGGGCCATGGCTCGCCAAGCTGAAAATGGAAGCCTCTGCAGTGGAGCCGAGTAGGGCTGCAGCAACCGACTCAACTGATCCACCTTTGACATGGACAATCTGTTCTATGCTTGACAATCCGGCTATGCTGCTGGAAGCCACGTGGACGAAGATGGTGGGTTTCTGCCTGCAAGCCGAGTTATGAGCACTCGATGGCCTTCGGCCCAAGCTTCTCCGGCATCAGCCAAACCTGCAGAGTGTGGTGAAAGCTAGGCTGCTGTATGATTTCGGCAGTTGCAGCCATCACACATGCGCTCTCTCTTATCACGCACTGCGTGCTTCGTGGTGATTTCAACCTTGCGTCGAATGCTGGGTGCAGACAAGTACGGGCCTCCACTTCACCACTGCTCAGTCCTGGCATGCACAGCTTGAAGGCTGGGTCAGAGCAATGCTTTGCTTTTGCGGAACTGGAGCAGAACGCCTCCAACTGCGTCTTTGCATTCTGCGACTGCTAATGCAAGAGACCCCGCCGGCGCCTACGAGTAGGCGGCCGGCGCATGCAGCCAGAGCTTTGACCCTGGTAGATTGTGCCGCAGCTTCCTTCGGCAGCGTGCAAGCCTGCACACAACTCTCGTGCGATTCAATCCAAGAGAGACAATGCAACAATGAGGTTTCCAACGGAGTTTATCCTGTTTGTGAGCTGTAGTCCAAGTGGTGTCGGGACTTTTCTAAGGACGTCTTCTTTGCTGTCCGCTCTCTGTAGGCTGGGAAGAATCTTGTACTAAGTTATTTCGACTAGGGAAGCCGGCATTTGGCGAGACATCCGCACCAACTGTGGAGGCCTCGGGGTCTGAACTCAGAAGAAGAATCCCCCTAAGTTCCCCTGACGGCAACACCCTTTCCAGAGCCAAGCTGCCTGTGTCAGCTCATCGCTGTGGGAAAGGATCCGGACTTCGCCCTTAGCGTCGCCAAGCGCCAGCCTCGAGACCGCGTTGAAATTCTTTGTATACCCGATACTGGAATCAACAACTGTCCGGTACGGCAGTGGAAGTATGAAGTGGATCTCTCTGCTGCGCCAACTTTTTTGCAAGTCGGCCAATTCTGCAGACTAGCCCGCAACTCTGCAGAACATTTGCTAGGGTCCTGGCATTTTCGAAGACAGCCACACCATGGACGTCTTAGTGCATACGAGCAGAATTGTTTGCAAAAGCTATGACATAGCATTGGCCGGCAAGATTGCGGCAAGATGATTGGAGCACACAGCCCTACAAAGCTTTCGCGCCGTAAACAAACACCCCACGCCCAACCGCGCGTCATGCTATTGCCAGGGCCTCAAGTCTCACAGCTTCATTGCTGAGCCTGTGACGAAGTTGATTCGAACAAAGCCTTCCTAAGTAGGACGTACGGCGAGCTGCGGATCCGATCTACAAAGCTACAAGCAAAGAACGATCTCAGCCGCTGACTGACGATGGGTCCTTCAAAGAGGCTGTTTCAGAGGTCTTCACCTGTGCAAGATGGGACTGGCACAGCACAGCACAGCACACTAAAGATACATCGCTTTTTAGGAGCGGTTCGCTGTGGCGGCCTGCACGGCCATGAGCTCGCGGGCGCTCAGAACAGCAATGCTCTCACCGCATGGAGACCATTCCAGGGCCTGCCAGATGGGCCGTGGTTTAGTTCCTACGAGCACGCACGCGCATGTTATAGATGGGTGCATCCTACACAGCTGGCAATGCTGCTATACAATAGAGGTTGGGACTCCACGGAAGCTGCAAGCTTGGGCAAAAGGCACGCCTCTGCAACGTCCTTGATGGTGAGGTGGGCAGCCGAGGTGCCACGCGTTAGATCCTGAAGTAGATCGATTAGGTTCTTGCTTGGGCACACATGGGGTGCAAAGGATGGCGCGACAGCTTGCTCAATCCAGCGATCTGCTTGTAGGAATCCTCTTGAACGGTTTCGCCCGCCGAGACGCAGGCCCAAAGCTGTACTCGTTTGTCGCGACCAGCACCTTACCACAACTCAAGTTCCCACCAGAAGCAGCTTGCAAGTCCTCTGAAAGCGATCTTCAGGAAAACCAACAGTTGCAGACTGAATGATACAGCCAGAGCACTTGCCACCATGCGTCCAGACGGATGCACCTCGGGAACTTTTCACCATGGCTGGAATCACTGATCGTTGTGCTTCATGTGGCATGTGGGCAACTCAAAAGACTTGGCTTCTACCGCTGCCAATTGCAGCCGACATTGGGCCGAACATCAATCGTGCAAACTTCCGAATATCAGCTTGCTATGCTTTCTCTTGCAACTGCGGTCCGGGTGAATCTTGGATCTAATAATCGGTATCCGACAAAGAACATGCCTGGTCTTGAACTCAGGTGCGAGCTGCCAAGCTGGTGACTGCAGCCTGCACTCGCAATTCACTATTGCGCATAATGTTAAACCCTAAACCCTAAACCCCTAAACCCTAGAACAATCGCCGCACTCTACAGCTC